ATAACACGAGGAGTAGAGGCAGCAAAGTGTGCTGGGTCTGTATAAAGGCAGAGTATGGTTGCAGTCCAATTCCAGAGTGCAAACAACCTCCCCCCCCCCCAGGAACTCTGCATGTCTTGTAGCCTCGCCCTGCTTTTCTCCCAAGTCAAGCAAGAAGAAACATGGCTGGGTGGACGGACTGAGGAGCGAGTGTAGCCCTTTCTGCTTGCTATCAGCAAAAGGAGTTCACAAACTGGTCTCTATAACAGTGAGCATGTGATTAAACCTGTGCATGTGTCACAAGCACATCAATTTGGCCCCAGACAAGCCCATAGGAGTGGCCACCCAGCAATATTTACTATTCTGTAAGATGAATGCATGCACAATATTTTTGAGGTACCCTTCTGTCTGGAGCCCAGGCTGCCATCTCGATAACACGGGACGCAAGTCGTAATTAGCTTGAAGATTTATTGCAAAACAAACAATTAGCCTCAGATGCTCTAACCGAGCATCCATGTCTCACAAAACAAAATAAAAATAAATCTTTCCAGTAGCACCTTAGAGACCAACTAAGTTTGTTATTGGTATGAGCTTTCGTGTGCATGCACACTTCTTCAGATGACTCATGAGTCAGTTGACCCTTCTAGAGAATGTTTCCTGCGGCCACAGAATATGCAGAACCTATGACCTTTATGTTTCTTGTTTTGTTTCCTGTCTAATATCTTTCTCATTTGTCTATTCCTGGGACTCATGTGGTTAAATGACTCCTCTTCTGGTGAGTCAGGGCTCCCCCTCCTGCTTTCTCAGCCTGCCTGTGCTTCTTCGGAGAGTTGGCTTCTCTCCAGCCCGCCCTTTGCTCCTCTGCATTCCATTCCTTGCTGGGAAGAGGGGGAGTTGATATACGACTGCTTCCAGCTGTCTGCAGGGAATGCGAGCTGCTCTGATGCTGTGCTCCTATACCTTGGGCAGAAGTGTTCATGACACCTTCCCACTGAAGCATCTCCCTCCTCACTTAACCTGATTTATTCCTAGTTCATTTATTTATTCCAATCTTTACATGCAACCTTTCATATCAAAGCCCTACAAAGATGGCACAGAATTTCATGAGCTTTAGCAGGCCTTTCCATATAATGTAGTAGGAGAGGGAATTTTGCAGAAGTCATTGAAATCGTACAGAAAACCTCTAACCTGTGCATTATATAAGGATGAAAAGGTAAAGGACCCCTGACAGTTAAGTCCAGTCACGAACGACTCTGAAGTTGTGGCACTCATTTCGCTCTACTGGTCAAGGGAGCCGACGTTTGTCCGCACAGTTTTTCCGGGTCATGTGGCCAGCAGGACTAAGCCACTTCTGACGAACCAGAGCAGGGCACAGAAACGCCGTTTACCTTCCCGCCAGAGCGGGACCTATTGATCTACTTGCACTTTGTGCTTTCGAACTGCTAGGTTGGCAGGAGCTGGGACTGAACAACGGGAGCTCACCCCATCATGGGGATTCGAACCGCCGACCTTCCAATCGGCAAGCCCTAGGCTCAGTAGTCTGGTATCATATGTAAAACAGAGCCCATATTTTTCATTGGTCTTGTCACACCTCTCAGTCGAAACTTCAGTTGCCAAAACCATGCCCTTCTCCCATCCCAACCTCATGACTTCTGGCTCCACCAGCTCTAAGCCACCCTGAGGTCTCCTGCCATCTTCCATTACTCTACCCTTGATTCTCCCTTGCTGCTCATACTTTCCAAAGTGGGTGGTTTCTCCAGAACCCAGCTAAAAAAACTACAGTGCAAAAATATTTCACTTCCAAATCAACCATGAGACTGTCTTCTCAAACAGCCCAGATGGTGCAGATAAACCTCACTAAAATCAATTGGACTACTCATGAGTACAATTTTTAATTGCATCTTTATGGTAGAAACTACCCATCAAACTTGGGACATTCAAATGTATCTTTCCAAACAATCTTTGCTGTAC